AATGAGGTGACTTATGACAGATTCTCTCTCTTCTCACCGTTAATTTACATGCAACATGTTGTAGGTAAATTAATATTCTTAGGACTTGTTTGGGATTGTTGTATTTTTTTTTTTTTTTAAATTGTTGCTGCTATGCTATGAGAATAAACAACTGTGAAAAAAGCAGGTAAGTGTTTGGTAAACTATAGTGCTAAAAGTGTTTTTAGCAAAAAATGATGGTGTAGGATTGTTAATATGAAAGTTCATTAATTGGTACTGTTCACCTACCCCCTAAAAAAAAAAAAGCATTTTCTTTTTTAGAAGTATGAGTAGAATTGTTTCTGCTTCCTGCCATTTTACACTCATGATTTTGAAAAAAAAAAAAAAATTCATTTACCAAACACAATTTTAACTTTAACTTTTTTTTAAAAAAAAAAAAAAAAAAATCCCTTAAAGTAATTGGGTGTTGGAGAATGTAGCGCTCACTCGATACAGATGATTGGATTGGAATCAGTAAATTACTTTTCAAAGTGTAGTAGAGGAATAAATGAAAATAATTAAGAGACCAAGACATTGGTTACTCAAGATGAAAACATGCCCATTCCAATTCTATCCATACCAAACGAGACCATCGCTCTCATCTTCTGCAAGATATAAGCTAGCTTATTCAAAAACTTATGCCAAATTCATCTTTCAGCTACTTAGGTCTAAACTCTTCTAATCACCACATCTTCTCGACATTCCATGATCGGAATTTCCATCTCAGACCCCTCAAGGTCAATTCCCTTGTAACCCCTTTGCAAAACACATAAATTATGAAATCGAAAGTCGTTAGGGCAGCAATTAGGAAGTAGAATCTGTCCACGTGACATGTTTTCAGATCATCGGGATCCAACCAGGGCTTTGGCCTTTAGCTGTGAATCTGTGATTCCCATCACCATTTTAACCAGCTTGCTGCTCACATAATTCCCAAGAGATATTGAAGCCATGCACAGTGAACTTCCAAAGCTTTTATCCTATCTCGGGCTTGACCATTGAAGAACTCCAGTTGACCAACATACATAAAAACTTCTGAAGCACCAACGATACTGCAGAATTTGCCAAAGTATGCTTAGAGTGCTTATCTTCTCACCAGCCGAACATGCTTGGGCCTTGCAATCTTTGTGACACCAGCTGCAATCATCGATAACATTCCAATTATTAGACCTATCCCATTCTTTTTACCTCAGATAAACCTTTAGGTATCGTTTGGTACGCAGGACGGGACGGAACAGAGTGGGACGAGGCGTTCCGTCCCACGTTTGGTGCGCCTAAAATGAGTGGAACGCGCTGTTCCACGGAACAGATTTTGGATGATTTTTTGTTCCACACCCCCACCCTGGAACGGGTTGTTCCATGTCTGTGGAACAGAAATTTCCAATATTTTTAGACAAAAATGCCCTTGGTCTTTTTCAAAATTTACAACTTCAAAATCAGTTAACAAACCCTAAAAACAAAATCTCTTCTTCTCAGCCGTTTCTCTTCACCTCTGCATCCCTTTCCCCTTCGCAACCTTCCTGCTCATCCGCCGCCAAACCCTAACCACAAAACCCGCCTCCACCGCCTCCGACTTCGTCCGCACCCTCTCCACCGCCGCCGCCGTCACCGAAACCTACGACGGCCCAGATGGAGTTTCAATGAAAGGGGTCAAAATTTCTGGCCGGCCTCTGTACCTGGACATGCAGGCCACGTCGCCGGTGGACCCCAGGGTCGTCGACGCCATGCTTCCTTACTACCTCACCCGGTACGGAAACCCCCACTCCCGGACCCACATGTACGGCTGGGAGTCCGACTCCGCCGTCGAGACCGCCCGCGCCCAGGTCGCCGACTTAATCGGCGCCTCCCCCAAAGAAATCGTCTTTACCTCCGGCGCCACCAAGTGCAACAACATCTCTGTCAAGGGCGTCATTGGTGGTAGGGTTTGGTGCGGCTTGCGAAATTGCGAAGAAGGAAATGGAGTATGATGAGAAGAGGGTAAGAGCGTTGCAGGATCGAATGTTGAAGGGAATCAGGAAGAACCTTGACATGGGTATTTTAGTCATTTTAATCTTTTGGTTCCGTTCCGTCCATGTGCTACCAAACGCAGGACAGAACAACCGTCTTATTCCATCCTGCGCGTACCAAACATAACACAGAACATCTGTTCCGTCCCGTTCCGTCCCGTCCCGTCCCGTCCCGTTCCGTCCCGTCCTGTCTCGTCTGCGTACCAAACGCTACCTTAGGGTTTCCCCTTAGTTTTCTGACTACGGCACGAGAAGTGAGGGATAAATTCCGGTGCAAATGAAACGAGAACGCTGCATATGTCAAAAGCAGACATGCTAGCAGCTAGGAGGTAAAAATCTCCAAAGTTGGATTTCATCACGCGTGGTTACAGTAGGCGGAATTTTAGAAGCTATAATCCCTATTTAGGGATATTTGTTTGTTGAGAATGAAAGCAATTATCACTGTGGCGTGTCTTATTCTTATATATTGCAAATTTACTCGACTGAAATCGAACACTCCTGTTAACTAAATGCAGATACTCGGGATCCTTTGTTAATGAAAGTGGAACAAACAGCTTGCGTTTGCAATCTGCATTTCACTTCTATTTTCTTATGTATCCCAGCTATACATATGAACAGCATCTGACACATCATCAGTTTTCTTCTATAATTAGCAGATAAATTGTGATTAACTACAACAACAACAAAAGTTTTTTTTCACTAAGTAAGGTCGGCTATATAAATTGTGATTAACTAATGAATTAAATTTTATTTTTTATCCAATTAATGACTTTATAATCGGAAACTTCGTGTGATAACTTATAACATCTCTCTGATGTTAGCCAGCTATCCCATATGTTCGATCCAACCCCCATAAGAAACACCTAGCTATCTACTTGTAACTTGTAATTAACCATATGCTTAACAAAATGGGTTATTTAGTTTGAGGCTGTGACACCTAATTAATTTTCCTAAATTAAGATAAAGCCGCTTCAATTCATTTTTTGTTCGATTAATCCTTGGCTTTTCACTCGAAAATTTGGTTTATCTTTTCTAGAATAATGTGCTTAATTTGGTTGTTACTTGCCTAATTCAGTTTAATATTTTGAACCCTCAGCCTTTCAAATATAAACCATGTTCATGCAACGGAAGCATATGCAAATCTCTGATTTCAGATTCTCTCCCTCAAAAACTCTCCCAAAGTTAACCATGTCTGCAACGTTAAAAGTTTCCTTCATCGTGCTTTTCTTGAATGCCATTGATCACTTTGCAGTTTTGTAATACTTGATCAATTAGTCTTCACATCCATGTCAATATTGTGCTTATCGTGTCCCTTGAGATCATTCACAATGGCAGAAGATGCATCAATCATGATCTCAAGTGCCCAAAGAAATGTGGGTTTGGAGACTTCAGATTCAAACGAAACCGATTTTGCGCTGCTACATCAGAATAAGCGCGCGAGGCACGACAATGATGTCTCATTTGCAAAGTTCAAAGGGGTTGTGCCACAACAAAATGGTCACTGGGGTGCACAAATATATGCAAACCACCAAAGAATTTGGCTTGGCACCTTCAAATCTGAGAAGGAAGCTGCCATGGCTTACGATAGTGCGGCAGTCAAGCTTCGAAATGGTAAAGATTTGCATAGAAATTTTCCTTGGACCAACTTCACCATTCAAGAGCCTGATTTCCAAAACCATTACACAACAGATGCAATAATAAAAATGATTAGGGATGGTTCCTATCCATCCAAATTTGATGCCTTTGTGAGGTCCCAAACACAATCTCGAATTGAGGAAATGAGCAAGGGCACCAACCCAATAAGAGTGCATGGCGATGGACAAGTTCTGTGTCGGCAACTCTTCCAAAAAGAACTTACTCCAAGTGATGTGGGTAAGCTCAATAGGCTTGTGATTCCAAAGAAATACGCAGTCGAGTATTTCCCTTGTATTTGTGAGAATGTGGAAGACAATGTGACTGAGGACATTGAGCTAGTTTTCTATGACAAGCTCATGAGGGTTTGGAAGTTTAGGTATTGCTATTGGAGGAGTAGCCAAAGCTTTGTGTTCACAAGGGGTTGGAATAGGTTTGTGAAGGAAAACAATTTGAAGGCAAATGATGTGATCACATTTTATGCATGTGAGAGTGATGGTCAAGTGATAAGAGAGGAAGATAGAGAAAGTACTACATTTTGGTTAATTGATGTAATGCACAGTGAAGGTGAAAGCAAGAGATTATGTTTGGTTGAGGAGGCCAATAAGTGTAAGGATTTGCAGGTAAAATTGGAACTAAATTTGGGCGAGTGTAGCAGCTACAAGTTTCAAAAAGGTGAAGGTAAATATAGTGAAGATCACAGGGCATCCATAGCCGAGGAAAAAGGAATTAGGCTATTTGGTGTGAATATTAATTAACTGTCTTGGAGAAGAAGATGATCATTTTATTAGGGTTTTTCTTTCCTCCAAATTATCCTTAATTTCTTGGGTCCTAATACTTTTGATTATTTTAGGCTGTCAACTCACCAATTTGGAATGTAAGTTTCATCACGATCCATCAAAAGTTTCATTGTTGCTATAGCTTGTGTGTGTGTATATATATTGTCCCAGCCAAGACCCCTACCTCTCTCTCTCTCTCGGTAATATATTACTCTCATCAATATATATACATGATGTTGCTTTCTGCTCCTACATAATGTCCATTTCTAATTCAAATCAAGTATACAAAGCCCACAAGAAAAAACATTTGATGGCATCAATCTTATTGTCATTAGTTTGAGTTGGACTCTAACCATTCTAGTATCCGACAAGCGATACTAGAGAAGGAGAATTCGAATACAGAACTTCAGGCCCATGGTAAACGTTTTTAAGCATAGAACTACAAGCACTTAGCACTTGTACCAAGTTGTTTTCGAAACACATTAATTGGAAAGCATTTTATGAAGCTTGACTACTAAATGTTCCAAAGTGTGACTCGATCTCGTGTTGAAATTGCTAGGGTTTAAAGTGAAAAAAGGAGAAGTCATCCTCTACTCTGCAATATCTTTATTTTAAAACTTCAGCTTACATTCAAACACAAAACAAGGGAAAGACTGCCACAAAAGAACATAAAATAAGGAACATAAAACTTAAGGTCTAAACTATGTTGAGCGCTGCCTCATCTTGTGATTTTTCCTGATTTGATGAACTTCCATGTTGAGTTTCCGTGATCTGAGTTCTCTGCTCAGAACCTTGGAGATCATTGCCCTTCTGATCTTCCATGATCTCAATCTCCTGCTCGGAGCCTTGGAGGTTGATGCCCTTATACCACTTAGCGCAAAACAAATAAACCACAAAATCCAAAGCTGTTAGAATTGCAATGAGGAAGTAGAATCTATCCAAATGACCTTCATTCAGATTATTTGGGATCCAACCAGGGTCTCCACCTCTAGCTGTAATATGCGTTACTATGTTAACTAGTAAGCTGCTCACATAGTTTCCGAGAGATATCGACGCCATGCACAATGAACTTCCAAAGCTTTTAATCCCATCCGGGGCTTGTCCATTGAAGAACTCTAGTTGTCCCACATACATAAAAACTTCTGAAGAACCAACAAGAACATATTGTGGGATTTGCCAAAATATGCTTAGTGAGCTTACCTTCTCACCTGGTGTAACACCTCTGAGCCTAGCAATTTCCGTGGCACCGGCCGCAACCATTGCCAACAATCCAATAATAAGCCCTACACCCATTCTTTGAAGCTCGGATAAGCCTTTTGGGTTCCCACTTAACCTTCCGGCTAAAGGCACAAGGAAATTGCGATAAAGTCCTGTGCAGATAAAGACACTGCATATGTCAAATACAGACATGCTGGCGGCCGGAAGGTGAAACTTTCCGATGTGGGATTCCATCACATCACCTTGCTCCACAAAAAGTGAAGCCATCTGTGTAAACACCACTGAGTAAATTATGGTGCAAAGCCAAACAGGTAGCATTTTTAGTACGCATTTCGCTTCCTCAACTTGAGTTACAGTACAAAGCCTCCATGGATTCGTTTCGTCTGCAGTTTGATCCTTCTCGGTTATTGTCGCTGCCTTGTCCAAAAACCTAACAAAAAGAACTTGAAATATTAGGAAACCAATAAAACTATTAAACCAGAGAGCTTCTATTACACTTAAGATGCCATCTTGCACTCCTGGCATGATAAAATAAAAAGGATAAAAGTGCAGGATGACATTGTTTAAGAGCTAACAACAGTAAACTTAATTAACTCATATACAGTTAAAGTGCAATATTACTTACAAAATCTCATTACTGTGGAGAATCTTTCTACTCCCTTTGATTGCAGATTTTGTTCCTTCCAGCTCATAAAGATTATCCGGGCTGGTTGGAGCAACACTCAATTTTCTAAAGGCAGCCACGAATACCTGAGCCACGCGTGGCAACGGGTTGCCACATGGTTTTATGTAGCGATACCCAGGTGATGCTGCCAAATATGACACTAGGGCTAAGATAGCAGATCCTAATGACACCAGAAACCCCAGAGTCCATAAACCTTTATCCTCATAGTAAACCAATATGGTGTTTGAGAAAAGACACCCAACGTTGAGTGCAAAGTAGAAGTAAGCAAAGAAAGCTGCTTTCGAAAATTGTTGTTTGGGATCACTCTCGTCGAATTGGTCTGCTCCAAATGTTGCAATAGTTGGTTGGTGGCCACCGTATCCAAGTGCTATTAGATATATTGATAGGTAAAAGAGAGCCACACCTACTTTGGATGTTGGCTGGCAGTAATTGCCTACACCACCGCAACCATGCGGATGGATCAGCCACAGCCAAGACGTCAAGGATAATAGCCCCAAGCCCTGATTAACGAACATTAAGTTTTGTTGTACATGTATCTTTGAAGAACAATTCAAAAAATTCACTAGGAAATCTCAAAAAGCTAAGTATATACTATACCAGAACAAGGATGACTTGAAAGATTGCGCAGGTTAAGTAACGACCCCAATAGGAGTCACTGAGGAATGCTCCAACTAGAGAGAACAAATAAACAGTTCCAGTCCATATGCTAACGTTGTTTGCCGCAGTGGCACTTTCTTGATCAAGAACTCTGATCAGAAACAAAACCAAGTTCACTCCTACACCAAAGAAAGCTAGTGTTGCTAGGCCTTGGTTCGCTGCACCGAATAAGACGTAACATGAATATAACTGAAGAAAAATGTATATCATTCTCCCTAATACTATTTGGAGAGATATGGCAAATTAATAATCTTGATTTGAAAAATCTATATATGCTAGGAAAAGTGAATATCATCGATGATGAGTACCTAGCAAGATAAGTGCAAGTTTCCATCCTCCTACTCTCTTTTTGACAGTGGGTTTGGACTCCTGAGTTATCTCATGGATGTTTGTATCCACAACTTCAGCTCCTTCAATGTCTCGGTTAGGGGCTTCGCTTATCATCTGCCGATTTTGTACGAGAGACTAAGTTAATTTTGTGCTACTAGTAACAAATTAACTTTAAGGCTACATTATTACACAATATATGATGAAGCTAGCTGAAATATGTTGGATATACCAACCTTTTACGAAACTTAATCACTGCTCTTGAAATTGTTGAGCCGGACTCCGGTGATGAGGAAGAGCGTGGACCGGTAATCACAAACAGCAATGTAGTAGGCCAGTTCACAAAAGTTGCCGGAAAACTAGAAAACACGAAAAACCCTTTTGTCATTTATGGTGGAAAATTGAACAAGAATATTTCACCCCAAACAATGGCCCTTTAGCTAATTAGTCCCTTCTTTCAACCCAAAATCTCAATCCAAACTACTCGAAAAACCTCGAAAACTCATAATCAGACTGAAACCCTAATGCAGCTTATATAGAGAGACTGTATAACAGAGAAAATATATCGATCGCAAGAGAAACAAAGAGAAAGTTCTTGATCAAAGAGAATCAAAAGACTCGAAGCTTTTGCATGTGATATGTGAGAGTGTAACAAATGACTTATATATTTGAAGGCTTGGTGATGACAAGTGCCGCATATTCAGGCTTCAGTTACGAATTTCCCTAGTAATATTCAGATGCTTTTATTTCTTATCTCTGACTAGTTTGAAGTTTCGGATCTTAGATTTTAGACCAAAAAATTAGGAGATTTATTATGCTTAATTTTTTTATTAATTAAGTTCATGAACAAGTACAGGTTCATTACGACTCAGCTTCTGTTTAGTATAACAAAAAGAGAATTTTCACAACTATAAATTCTAAACCACAAAATGATTGTGAAATCCCCAACATTTCGGTGGCACCCTAACTCTTCTATTCCACATATTCTTCTCTTCCTCCTTAAAAAAAATATATATATTTATTTACCAAAACTTAAGAAAAATATATTAAAAAAAAAACCTATAAAAGTTAAGAAATAGAGGAGAAAATAAATTTTAATTTATGCTTTTTTTTCTTGTTAATTGATTTCACGAAGGAAACAGTACCTCAATACCATTCTCTTCAAGGGAACTGATAGAATTTAAAGCTTAGGACCACCGGACCAAAATGTATCAAGCTTATCTGAGTTATCTCTGATGCTCCGTACCTAGCTCTGGCTGGCTGGTGTATAGCAATATATATATAATGTGAAGTTTTGAGCTTTTGAGAGATGCATTCCAAGAAGATCACCAAAAGAAAGAGAAAAAGGAGGATTTTGATTTGGGTTGTTTACAGGTGTACAGCAATTATACACACACACACACACACAGAGGTTGGAGATTCCAAATTGGCCACAAACTGCATTAATTACAGACAATTCTAGTCGTGTCTGGATTGCATGGAAGTCCGGAACAATTTACTATACGTTGCTGATCACCTTTTCATCGTGTCCAGATGGAACATGTGAAACTCCAACATATGGACATAGAGTTGGTTGGCCTTTGAATGACCAAAAACAAAACACGATAAGGAAATTTGTTGGGCATCTTAGTTGTTGTGATTTCGATTTCTTACATTTTACTTAACAGGAATGAGAGCGATAAAAAATTAGAGAACTTAGAAATAGATGAAGTAAGGAAAGAGATTGAGTGAACTAACCCTCTTAGCTGATATGATTTATGATTTTCAGGTATTTGGTTTTCGGTTATAAAATAACAACATTTCTATTGTGCAAACTCTTTTTTAATCGGCAATAAAATTGATTAAATTGGAAGAACTAGGATTAAAATGTTTAATGTAACTAATCACTATACGTAACATAATTATCACAAAAAGTATTACAAGTCTTCAAAAATTTGTGACAGTTTTTTCTTAGAAAATTGAAAAAAAAAACAATTCATTGCAGAAGCAAGGCCCGATTATACATTTTCTTTTATATATAAAGATGTTCGGGTGGAAATTGGACTAAATAATATGTGTCAATCATAATTACGTACCGAACTCGTTATGCATGAAAGTCGAACTTGAGATCTCATTATCAAAAAAACAGTAATACTACTAAAGCATAGTGCTAGTGGCTAATCAATTTTACAATTAGATACACAAACTCCAATCAATTAGACAGATAAGAAACACTTAGAGATCCTAGTCCTACAAATAGGACCTAGGAAGTCATCTAGATGGACCAATTGCAGGGCAAGGAACGTGCCACCAAAATCATCACGCAGCGTTCCAACAACCAAAAATCGACCAAATCAAAATGCACCGACCATTGATTATGCTAATTTTTTTGTAATTTACGTAACGATTGTCTTCATTTAACAAATGTTTAAAAGGGAAAATAAATTTACACACCTGTTTTTTCTTTTTGCACGCTCCTATACCAACTTATGCTTGTTGATTTTTCTTTGATATGCTTTATCGAAAAATAAAGAGAGAATGTGTAAGCGGCAAAAATGGGGTTATGACAATTCATTTCTCTGAAAAGTGAAAAGTTCAAAGACCAATTTGTGAAGAAAGAAAATTGGAGATCAAAGTGGAAAACCCATTAAAGCTCAAGGGCCACATTTACAATTAACTCCTTTTCTGGTCTCTTTGACAATTGACACCACCGACTTCCTCTTCGCTCGAGGGTTCTCACTTCTCACCCTCACTGAGAAGCATATCATAGATGTCAGCGCCTCTCTCTCTCTCTAACGAGCAAAGCTGATAAGAACGAATCTTTCCAAATTCCAACTCCCCTTTCTCTTTCCCAATTAAAAAATACACAGCTTTTGCTGTTTGCGCTCTCCACATTGGCGCTCCCAATTGCACAAAGGTAAGAAATTTATGCTGCATTCATCTTTTCAAATTGTTACTGGTATTGCTGTTGGGGCTGCTGGTTCAGATCAATTATTTGGGTGCTGAGGTTTTTGTCAAATGTAGTTGAAGTTTGGAAAATTTTCCCCCTCAGATGTGAGATGATGGTGTTGAAATTTACTGGGGTTTAAGGTGGAGAAGGGTTTTACTATTCTGGTTTTATGATTTTTTTTTTTTTACCCAAAGTTTCTGGATTTAGCTTCAATGGCGGATATATGCGTCTATATTTTCTGGGTTCAGCTTAATTTAGGCAAATTTATGGGATTTCCTTCATGGGTTGGGAGTTCCCGCAAAAGGGTTTTGTTTATCTTAGTGTAAAAATATAAGTATTTGGTGGAAATGCTGGATAAAAGTCGAAAATCAATGTTGTTTGCTCCAAATCAGGATAAAAGAGAATTCCTTTATAATGTACGAAAGTATTGTGTTCTCGAGAACCTATTGTTACTTTACTTTCGCGGTTTTATGGATGTTAATTATGGTTTAGTGTAATGTGTAGATCTCTGTTCTCCTTCGTGAGATTGCATTTATCGGAGATGGCAACAACTGCTGCTTCCAGCCTGCAAATGGCAACTGCCAGACCCTGCATTTCCTCTTCTCATAGAGCTTTCGGGTTGAGCACTGCAATGCTTAATGGCAATTTTAAGGTGGCTTCATGGACTAAACTCTCGTGTGCATGCCACATATCATCTGTACAATCTTTCCAGAGGTGCTTTACTTCATCATCTATGAAATTGGATAAGTTTGTTACAAAGGCAATGGCTGGGGTTAGTGACAACAAACCTGTCTCGGGGTTACCAATCAATTTGAAAGGTTAATATTCTTTCTAGCTATCTGATTCTACACGCTTGCTCAGTATTTATTTGTTTTGAGTTAATTTCTTCCTCTTCACTAGTGTTTTCTTGTTGTCGAAGCTCATATTGGTGATTTCTCTCTTGTAATTCACTTTTATGTCATACTTTGTGGTAATGGACTTTTTCCAAATGAAAAATGTTTTGCAATAAAGAAAGCGGAAAGTTAGTACCTACTTATCATAAAGAAGCTTTTGGTTCCCTACTGAGATAATTACTCTTGATTCGGAATCTCGGATGCATCCACTTGGAATAGCTGACTGTAGCTATAGCCAGTGTACTTGGAGGAATAACATTACTCTCAAGATGATGTATTAGATTTTGTTTAGCTACATTTAACCGGTGATGGTTTATATGCAGAAAATTTTCCTTTAATTGTTAGCTTTTAGATTGTTTCTCATCTGGAATATTGCATATATTCCCAGGTCCATATGCCAATTAAATACTTGTGTTTTGGTGAGCAAATACCTTTCCAACTAAATATGGATGTGCTTTGTGCAGGAAAGAGGGCATTTATTGCCGGTGTAGCTGATGATAATGGGTATGGTTGGGCAATCGCAAAATCTCTAGCTGCTGCAGGTGCTGAAATTCTTGTGGGAACATGGGTGCCTGTAAGTTGATTGGCCCGATCGCTAGGACTTTATATCTTCCTTTATCTTCTACATTTTGGATATGTTTTACTGACTATGATGAGTCTATGTGCAGGCTTTGAACATTTTTGAGTCCAGCCTGCGACGTGGAAAGTTTGATGAATCACGCGTGTAAGATGTTTAATCTGGTTTTAATCCTGTTAGCTGGTAAAATTGACGAATAGTTTCCAAGTTTCTAACAAGATATTTAATACCACAGATTACCAGATGGTTCTTTGATGGAGATTACCAAAGTATATCCCCTAGATGCTGTGTTTGACAACCCTGAGGATGTCCCCGAGGAGGTAAGGAGATAAATATATAGTTAATATTAATGAAAAATAAAATTGGATTCATATACTTAATGTTTTTGGGCGTAATTTCATGCAGATCAAAACAAATAAGCGCTACGCAGGATCCAGTAATTGGACTGTCCAGGTATAAATTAAATTTCATATTTGCTTCTAAATGTTTGTAGAAAAAAATTTACGTGCATGTTGGAGCTTGTGACCAGTTCTCAGCTTAATGTACACATCAGAGACTTTTTTAAACGACATGTTTTTTCTTGAATCTGGCGTTTATGTTTGCAGGAAGCTGCTGAATGTGTGAAAAATGATTTTGGCAGCATTGACGTTCTTGTGCACTCGCTTGCAAACGGACCAGAGGTACAGTAGTAACCATAATAGAATTTCTATTCTCTATCTTCTGACACGTACTAAGTTATCTCGTTAATAGGTTGTTAAACCTCTATTGGAGACATCCAGAAAAGGATATCTCGCCGCTATTTCTGCATCGAGTTATTCCTATGTTTCTTTACTCAAGCATTTCCTCCCAATAATTAATCCAGGCAAGCTTCCATGTCACCTATCCACTATTTTTTTTCTTTTACTTGTGTTTTACTCAAATTAAGATAATCTTTTTGGTTACAGGCGGTTCTTCAATTTCTCTTACATATATTGCTTCCGAGCGGATCATTCCCGGGTATCTTTTCTAGGCATATCACCGTTTGTATGGAGTTACATTTCCTAATATTTTACGATGATGGATTCTTAAATTATCTTTTGCAGATATGGTGGAGGTATGAGCTCTGCAAAAGCTGCTCTTGAGAGTGATACTCGAGTGAGTTTTTCTTCCATGCACTTGCACATATAATTTATCCCACTTTCATATCCTTCCAAGAAGTGTTATGACATGACTTGGCATTACTCAGGTGCTCGCTTTTGAAGCGGGAAGAAAAAAGGGAATTAGAGTCAACACAATATCTGCTGGTACCATACATTTCTTTTGGATTACATTAATACTGGAATGCATTTGGATCAACGACGTTTGTCTACATACACTGTTAAGATGACCAATTTAAGCTTCAAGTTCTGTTTCTATTAACTTCAGGTCCACTAAGAAGCCGTGCTGCAAAAGCGATTGGATTCATCGATATGATGATCGACTACTCATCAGCCAACGCACCTCTAGAAAAAGAACTATCTGCAGGTAATTTGCCGGTCTCCTCTTTGTTTTGTTGTACCTTTTCGTTTTTTCCATGGTTATAGATACTGAAGTCTCAAATCTCGTTGAACAGAGGAGGTAGGAAACACAGCTGCTTTCTTGGCATCACCTTTGGCCTCTGCCATTACAGGCGGTGTTATATACGTAGACAATGGTTTGAATGCAATGGGTGTCGGAGTTGACAGCCCAATTTTTGAGAACCTCAACATTCCGAAGGCTCAGCACTGAGGATGGTTAGGCTGGCTGGCCGAGCGGTAATCCCAAGTGACGCATCGTACCGTGGGCTACTAAATGCAGTTAGCTTGTGCTACCCTTCCTCGAGTCGCTGAATCACCGATGTCGTGGCCAACGGCCCGATTTTGGCATGAGAGAAATTTTACCATAGGGACGTTAACAGTTAACAAAAACCTTGATTTGATACGTGTTTAGCTTAAAATTGTGTTTGATACTGGTTTACGCTTGTTAGTACTTGTCTATAAATCGAACCCGCTTTTGGTATTTGAGCAGTTCAAATTCATGGGGTTTTGTACTACATATGCAATTGTGTAAATTTTTCAATACGCATGCACCACTTTATCTTTTAAGAGCGATAATCTACATTGAGCATGTGCCACTAGGGATAGGCACAATACACGGATAAACACGTGCATATGGCACGATCTTGTTATTCATGCTTGTAAGACTCACAACGCAAGAACAACCAAGATTACCACACTTGGTTATTCATACTTGTAAGACTTGCAACGCAAGAACAACCAAGATCACCGCAAGATCACCGCGCACGCGCATGCACAATTGATTCCATCACTCTTTTCTTCTGTCGAAATGTTACGGAACATATTATACAAGAAGCCATACATTCCTACAATCCGAATGTAGCGGAATGTCAACACTGATAATTGATCACACAGCAGTGTGAAAACCTAACTTAATTAGTGCAACTGCACGACAGATTTCTAAATCGAATTCTAATCTTCCTATCCAAAATATACAATATTGGACACAAACAGATATTCAGCATGTAACTGAACAAAATAATCCTGCATAAAACTGGCAGTGATCGGGGCAAAATCTATTTCTGAATTAAAGCTTGCGCTTAGACCTGCGAAAGACGTTAGATCCAGTAGCATCATCATTTTCAGGGGATTCTTCTACAATAGATTCTTCCTGCACAACACGACCACGGTTTCTGGAGAGTTTTCGAATCGGGGTTGTGGGTAAGGCTGTTTGGGAATCGTATGCTGCTTGTTCCTCTTGAGAGGCAGGTATGGTGTTTGCGGGTGATCTATGAGGCATCAGCTCCTCACCAACAGGCAAACTATCCATCATTACCTGCAAAGCAAGAAAGTATGTCTTTTAAGGACACAAGATAGAGCATGAAAAGGATGTAAATACGAGAGTAGTACACAAAATACAAGACCCGAGAGAAGGCCACTGATAGTTATAATATGACAAGATGATTTCAACTTCCGATCACTATGACATACCTTCCAGTCCTTGTAATCAAATCGGAACACAAAATGGTGGTAAGTCACCTTCCGTGATGCCACATCCTCAGCAGAAGGAGCATTCCTAGGTGCTGAAAAAAGAGAAAGAATGACTGAATAAGCCAAATGCATAGAAATTAAAACACAAATGTAAACTAGAGAATGGTTATTTCACTCCGGCCATCTTTGCTTTGTTATATTCTACTTACAAACAGTATGAAAACCATTTGCATCCACAGATAATTCAACCCGGCCATCTTTGACTAAGAACGACAGAGCAAATAAGTTCTCCACCGTCTGCGCAAAAGAGTTTCTGTTTAATATCAAAGCTTCAAGTCGAACCCGCTTTTTCCTTCTTAGAATGTCAAATATCGTTGACATGTTCTTGTCAGTATCAGTTTTCTCTTCCGTCTGAGTATCATCTATCTGTTCCATGGCATAAACCACAAAGGAGTAATATCATCAGAAACACCCATACAACCTGAAGGAGACGTTCCTAAAACAAATGAAAATCAAAACTATATCAGCTGTACAACCATTTGAGCTTTACCTCATCAGGCCGATCCGTTGTGGTAGGCTTTACACGTTTACTGCGAACCACTGCCTTCCTTTGCTTCAACTCAGTACTCATGGGTCCAAGCCTAAGAGAAAAAAAGTAACATAACCATGAGTGAACTAGAATTTCTTGTATAATCAATGTGACAACACACAAAAATTCTTATACAACTGGGCAATCATTGGAAACAAGTAACTCACATAGTGCAACACCCATGAGCATTCTTGAAAATGGGCAAAACAGCCAACCCAATTTCCTTCCAATTAACTGAGACAGGGTCATCCCCTCCTCTCGGTTGGCTAAAATCATTAAGCAAAGCAGTAACAAAGTCGGACGGGCTAATTCCGGCACTGGACTGTGACTTAACAGAGGTCCACAATGTGTTAGTTATGTCCAGCAGTGCCTCTGCATCTGCTACTTGTTCCCTTGGCTTCTGAACTGAAAAATGCCCAAATGGGCAATCCAAATTTTATCATCAGAAACCAAAATTATAGCACAAAAAATACAGAAAATTCATTTCTTTTTTTTCTTCACAATATAGTCAATCTTCTCAGTAATCAGCAATACAAAAAAATGGAAAATAATAAAAATAAAATAAAGTAATAATTTTTCTTATAAGGAACATATATTTTAAAGATATTCAAAATTCAAAATTTGGAATTCTCAGAAAATTAAACATAAAATAAAATACCTTGCTCATGCAATTTCTCGACTTCATTGATGAGAAGTCCGAACTTCTCCGAATCCGGGCACATCAAATCATCCCTTTTCTCTGCAAATAAATAAATAAATTTCAAAAGTATTAAAATTTAAAAATTCAAAATTAATTACATTCAGAATAATTTGTATTTGCGATAAGCTCAAATTGTATACCACTGATGAGGTTCTTGACGGCGAGGTAGTCGGACCGGAGCGCCCGCCGCCGAACGGCGTCCTGCTCACTCGGGCGAGACGACTCGTCATCCACTCGGTCGCCGGCGTTGACCTTCTCGCGCTTCACGGCTCTGAGCTGCGCGGCATCGTCAACGCCTCGGGTTCGACTCGCGATCCGTTCGCGCTTCGCTGACTTCGGCATCGCGCCGGAATCCACGGAGAATCGAACGGATTTCGACGCTCTGAGAAAAACCCTAAATTTGAAGGGTCGGTTGAGAGAGAGAGAGAGAGAGAGAGAGAGAGAGAGAGAGAAAGAGGGGCTTTGGAAATTTTTGAAAAAGATTAGGGAAGGAAAGTGCGAACAGTAAATTGAAATGATGTTGAGTTGCTTTTGAAAACGGGAATTTTTGGGAACAGTTTTTAAAAAGGCGGTGGTGCCTTTCCCGCTCCACTCTCAATTCTCAAATGCTGATTTCGATTTCGTTTTTGAGTTTGGGATTTATATGAGTATTAGGACACTACAATACAATAAATCACTACAATACTTTAACATAGTTTAACCATGCATATTGTAATTGATGATAAAATTGAAAAATGGATGTGTATTAAAAATACATTTTAACCCCCATGTAACCAATATTTTGCTTTTCTGTTTAAATGCCACTTCCTTCTCTTAGCCTTATCGTATCTAAAATAACCAAACTTCATTAGATACGAGCATGGCACACACAAAGTCTGAGTGAAATTTTTTTATTTTTGTTTTTGAAGTAGAAGGGCAAAGGAAGAGAGTGATAGAAAATGTGAGAGTAGGGAGAGAATTTTATTTTTTTTAGTTTTTAATTAGAGATATATTAGACTTACATGTAGGTGAGGCTTAAAAAAAAAAAAACCAAATTTTGGTTGTGTAGAATTACATTTTTGCCCATATTTCTTATTCATGTACATTTTTTGCCCATATTTTAATTGATAATAAGTGTTTTATAATATGTAGTTTAGATAATTTATTTTTTGTATATGCTAAAGACAAACGTATAATTTGTACAATATTAATTTTTCATTTTTTTTAAACATTGTTAAGAGCCTAGGAAAAAAAATACTAACAATGTCTCAAGGTCGAGAAATCCAAGCAATATAAATCACCAAGAATTACCAAGTATTATAAATTTTACTTAAAAAAAAAGTACTTATTAAGGAAGCAATATAATTATGATATTGTAGTAGCATCCATGTGACAGCCCGTCCCGGGAATTTTAAAAACGTACGCGTGAAAAGACGGTTTTGCCCCTAGTGCATTTTCTTTACGTTTTGTGTTATGTTTGGGCCTTGTTGGCATGCTTTGAGCCACACACACCTTCCCACACACCACAACCTTTCCTCCCTATTCCTGCACCCTGTCCCGAGCCCCATTCCATTTCCATTTCCTTTGAAACGTACGGACACACCCACACACCCATCAAACCTTCACAGATCGAAGAATCCAAGTATATATTCAGACTCGTGAGGCTTGTAGGAGTCCAACCATACCCATTTCAGGTATGAATACCTTCGTTTTCACGTCGAATACACAATGTCCGATTTGAGGTACTGTTCATGCACACGTGATTTCTCACGTTTTAGGGAATTTCAAGCTTGTAGGTAGCTTGGTGAGGTCTCTAGGAGGCTCGGGGTGGTTCGTTTGATGGTTTTGGACGTCGGGATCACTAGTTTCGAAGTTGGCCGGAGTTAGGTTGATTTTTCAAGTGAGATTTTGTGGTTTTTAGCACTTAAAAGTGGTATGATTGTGTTCCTCTAGTTTTAAGCTTCATTTTGGTACCAATTTTGTGAAATTTGGATGAAAAATGAAGAAGATATCAACGTTTGAAAAATTCCCAGTTTTCCGGCACCGGCGATAGCGCCGGAGGCTCGCCGGAGAAGACGACGGAATATTCCGTCAAGTCTGACGGAATATTTCTGACGCCGTTGACGGTTACCGTTAGGAATAACGGAATATTCCTAACGGCGTCAGTTGATGCCGTCAGCGTGCCAGGCACGTGCCTGTGCGTGGCCGGCGCGTGTGGCCGTGCCTTGGCCGGCGCGTGGGGGCGCGTGCGGCGGTGAAAAATTATTTTAAAAATATGGGGATGTTCCTGAGGTTGAGTAGATCACGTTGGTGTATTCATACACCCCATTTGAGCAATGAATGAGAAGTTATTTCTAAGGTTTGGTTATGTACTTTAAAACTAACGTTTTTATAGTTGTTTCGCATATAGGTGAGACGTATCCCGAGGACGAGAGTGGTCACTCGAGGCAGGGGGGCTATGACCCTTCCACTTACCAGTGAGTGGGCTTTTGGTTTTCCGTATATACCTATATACTTATATTTTCCCAGAAATTGGTTTGAATTGTTATTTGCCATATGCCATGCATTATATTACCGTTGTTTATGCATCGTTGGTTGCATTATTAGGCGTATATATATATATATATATATATATATATATATATATGCATATTTGGGTGCTGTGGACGCACAGGTAAGTACCAGGTAAGTGTTATTCATGTTACTTCCAGTAGTGATTTGAGACGCTTAGAGAGCTCATAACCTGCACCCCCGGTGTTAGTGCTCCTGCCCAGAGTAGGGCACAGTCCTTCACGTGATGTTCACCTCCCGCACCACACGCTCAGCTTGGATCCAAGTTAGGTGCACAGTCATGTCGTACAGACCACTTTAGGTGGTTCCGACTCATAGGTGACCCGCGATCATTCGCCCAGCCTTCACGTGATCGTAGCACTTGAGCGTAGATATGTGTTACACCCAGGCCTGTCATACAGACCACCTTAGGTGGTTCCGACTCGTGTGCAGGTCCAGTTAGTGAGATTGAGATTTGAGCTCTAGATTCAGCCGTACAGGTCACGTTAGGTGACTCCGGCTGCCAGATTATATGTTATTGATATGATTTATGCCTGAGCACTTGCATTTCATTTTAAGGTTTTGGCATGGCATATTCTTGGGCATGATTGGTATATGTATATATATATATATATATATATTCTATTTTCTGGAAAGTATACAGGTTTTACGGCGAGGGGTTAGAATATATTTATTTGAATTGGTTTTCGAAAAGCTTTGTTTTTTCCCACTCACACTTTTGTTTTGCACCCCTCCAGGTTCTAGTTGCTAGCAAGTTTGGTGGATTCCCAGAGGACTTTTTCGGCTTATCTGACAGACGACCACCAGTGTAGGGCCACCTTCGGGTGTGCTTTTGTTGTATTGTTTCCTTTTGGACTGCATTAGGCGTTCTTACTCTGAACTTAGGTTTTACACTCATTGCACCTGTTTTATTACTTTGTGTAACACTAGTTTTTAATTTTTCGTACTATTTACATTACTATTTTATTAGCTTCGCATTGTGCACATGGTTACGTCACTTCCACGTGACGGCCAGCATGCCCTGATCTCGATCGGGGTGTGTCAATCCAATTAATGTAGTTGGACTATTGTGGATATGAAAATGATCAATTTAGTAATATGTAATAAATTTCAAATAACTGTATACAACGAATCATTAGAAAATTCTGACATTTGTTAACCATGCATAAGGAAAACTTTGACACCTGTCAACCATGCATAAGGTAATGCAAAGTAAAATGAAAAGTGTGTGAATGGATAAGATTACAGGCTAATTACTATAATACCCTTAATATTGTCGTAAATTAATACTAGTTTACTAAATTACCCTTAATTTGCAATTGGATTACGATAGTACTATTATTTTTTCAATATTCAAGGAAAGGTTGCGATTCTAATGTGTGACAGCCCGTCCTGGATTTTTCGTACCGTAGGGATAAAATGACGGATTTGCCTCTAGTGTTTTTGTTTCGTTGTGTGGTCGTTTTGGGGTTTTGGTTGGCTAATTTTGGACCACACTCACACCCACGCTCATTCTCATCATTTCCCTACCCCGTATCCCTGTCTCTCTCTCCCTTTCCTTTCTTCCTTGTACGAACAAGGTCAAACCCTTCGAAAACTTGGAGATCGTGGTGGAGACTTATACCTTTGTGTTCGTGAGCTTCATACGAGTTCAACTATACCCATTTTAGGTAAGGACACCTTCGTTTTCACGTCGAACCCGAGATGTTCAAATCGGGGTACTGTTCATGCACACGTAAATTCATGTGTTTTTGGGAATTTTAGGGTTCTAGGAAGCTTGGTGAGGTCCTTAGGAGGCTCAGCGTGGTTCGTTTGAAGGTTTTGGACGTCGGGATCGTGAGTTGCAGGTTTGGGCGGATTTGGTGAAGTTTTTTCAGCGAGATTCCGTTGGTTTTAGTGCTTGAAAGTGGTAAGGTTTTGTTCCTTTAGTTGTAAGCTTCATTTTGGTACCAATTTCGTGACGACCAACATGCCCTGACTTCGGTCAAGGTGTGTCATAATGACTACCTTAAACAAATTTGGGTTTGAGAGTCGAGAAGAACTGAGAGAAAGAGACTAACAACAATATGTGTAGGCCCCCCGTTTCCTCATATTTTTAGACCCACCTAGCGCTGCTGATTGCATGGACCCACCCGCCCCATTTTGAGTTTAAAAATTATGACCCCAGCTGAATTGCATGGACCCACCCCGGACCCGTGGGTCCAGGTCCCATTTGCCCGCTCCTAGTTTGTAATACTAAAATAGAAACTTATGTGTATTATTGGTATTATTTTTAAGCAATTAAATTATAAACATTGGTTCATGCTTACGTTTATTTTTAATTTTATCAAAAGGCAATCATTTTCATAATTCAACCTTAAAGTGACATCAGACAATACAGAAGTATAAATACATGAATGGTGCATCAACAACACCTATCACGTAAGAAACTTAATTGAAAACTTTACGTAGGGATCCTTACAGCAAAAAATAACACAACACAATATCAACATTGTAGTTAACAGAAAATCAAATCCCTAACTTGAGATAACTTCTAATGAAGTTTAAATATTAATTATTGCTAACTAAAACTTCATTTATATAGGAGTTCCTTCGTAAACCTAGTTAGAATCTTGTTCTAGGCTATATTTGGCATCCGCTAACTTCCAAAATCTCGAGGTTTCATTCATGTTCTCATCATTATACCATAATCTTCAAGATTTGTCATTTATGATCATCATTCCAAAATCATTGCAAATTGTCGTTTTCGATCACTGTTCCAAAATCTCTAGGATATGTCGTTATCTACATTCATCTTTGCCAAATCTTGTTCTTAATAGCCGTTTACATACCATGACGTATTAGCTCTCTTGATTATTGGCGCTATGCAAGTTCAGTGAAGTTATAAATGATCTAACTTTCCAACATTTATGCCAAACCCTTCTTAATTATCTTAGCCGGTACCTTAGTCGTACACCAAATCATAGCTGACCATCCAGGGCCGACCCTTAAGGTAGCCCCAGTAGGAGCCTGCCTAGGGCCCCCACTTCGGAAAGGCCCCCAATTTTTTTTTTTATATATACTACAATTAAATACAAAAAAACTAAAAAATATCATAATTTATTTGTTGGTGTAGTGGAAATGTTCAGCACTTTTTTTTTTTTTTTTTGGGGCCTTGAGTTCGAAACATGGAACTACCTTTTCAGTCACTAGTTTTTTCTTCTTTTTCAAATTTACGCTCAATCCATATGTCCAACTCCCAATTTACTCAAGTCCCATTGCTATCTTTTTTTTCTTTCAACTTTCCATACTCTCCATTTCTATCAAATTTTTAAATCAACTATCATATGGTCTTGAAGATTGTACTTTAAGGTCATCAAAACTATGAATTTATATGTTGCTTTTCAATAAATTTTTATTCAATGGATTATTTTAATATTCGATTCGTTAGTGTGATGTTGATTTTAGAAAAAAAACAAAGAGAAACAATTGACGTTGTTGAAGTTATTATACTTGTCAATCAAGTTTTATTGTTCTTCACTCTCAATCTTAGACTCTTGACTGCAAACATTTAGTACATTTGCGTCTAAATACATGAGACGTGTAATATTTGTATATTTATCTTCTTTTGAGTTTTGATATTAATTTTAATGATATTTAACATGGAAATAGAATTTTTTTTATGTAATTAGTGAATTCCTTTTATACATATCAATATATGATCATAGAATATTGGGGCCCCAATTTGAAGGTTCGTCTAGGGCCCCCAGATTCTCTAGGTCGGCCCTGCAACCATCTTACGTTTTCTTTGTCCAACATCAATTTAACCGTGACCTCAAAAATCGCAATTGAGATTATCGATTGGGTTGTTTTATACACACCCCACAATGTTATGAATCCACTCCACATCCAAAAAATTCCTCAAAAATTCCAACTTTGTCCCTCATATTTCTGAAGCCACCCCACCCCACCCCAAAAACAAAATGAAACACCAAAAATATCCAGGACAAGGAGAGCATTTTGCCGGACCAGCAGGGCCTGATCTTCGCTGGCAAGCAGCTCGAAGACGGTTGAACCCTAGTTGACTACAATATCCAGAAAGACTTGACTCTTCAACTGGTGCTGAGGCTCCGTGAAGGGATTATCCAGCTTTCTCTGATGGCTTTGGCTCGCACGTACAATCAAGAGAAGATGATTTTTAGGAAGTGCTATCCTCATCTGCATCCAAGGCCAATGAACTACAAGAAGAAGAGATGTGGCCACAACAACCAGTCGAGGCCCAAGAAAAAGATCAAGTAGAGTGTCAACCGAATATTTTGTTACTTTGTATCGGAGTTGAAGTACTGCAATTTATATTAACATTTTGATGGATATTGGGTTAATTTTGATCTCTTGATTTATATTTGTTTTATCGTTAAAAAAAATAAAAATAAAAATCAACAAGCACTAGTTGTCTTGACAATTGATGCCATATATCAATTATAGAGAATTCATACGAACAAGAAGATGAACTTTTGAACAAGAGGATGAACTTTTGATAATGTGGTGCCATGGTAAGTGGATGGGTGTGAGGTAGTTGGCTGCCAGTAAATAATTGGATGGTTGGATTTTCTTTTTCTCACCTTAATTCAAATAGGGGTTTCCAAAAAAAAAAATAAAAATAAAAACCAACAAGCACTAGTTGTCTTGACAATTGATGCCAAATATCAACTACAGAGAATTCATACGAACAAGAAGATGAACTTTTGATAATGTGGTGCCACGATAAGTGGATGGGTGTGAGGTAGTTGGTTGCTGGTAAATAATTGGATGGTTGGATTCTCTTTTTCTCACCTTAATTCAAATAGAGGTAAAAAAGGAAGTTCACGTGACAAATTTTAAGTGTGGGGTGTCTTCATAAAATTGTGGGGTGTTAATAGAATTACCCTTATCGATTCACATAATCGTATCTTTGGATATAAATTTCACTAGCACCATAACCATGATTCCAAAGAAAGAATTCTGAAGGGTAATTTTGGAATTTGAAATGTAAATAAGGAAAACCCAAGGGGTTAACAAAAAGATGTTCTCGAGCACTAAAGCTGACCGCCTATATATTTTACTTTTCTGTTTAAATGCCACTTCCTTCTCTTAGTCTTATTGCATCTAAAATAACAAAACTTCATTAGATATTAGCATATGGGCACACAAAAAGTGTGTGTGAAAATTTTTTATTTTTTTATTTTTGAAGTAGAAGGAGAGAGGAAGACAGTGATAGAGAAGGTGGGAGTGGGGAGAGAGTTTTATTTTTTATTTTATTTTATTTAGTTTTTAATTGGAGATATGTTAGAATTACAAGTAGAGGAGGCTTAAAAAAAAACAGCCTTATTTTAGTTGAGTAGAATTACATTTTTGCCCATATTTCTTATTCATGTGCAATTCTAATTAGAGGGTTAAACTAGTAATTTCATAAGATTTAAGTTGATAATGAGTGTTTTATTAATATGTAGTTTAGATAATTTATTTTTTGTATGTACTAAAGACAAACGTATAATTTGTACAATGTCAATTTGTCATTTTTTTTTAAACATGGTTAAGAGCCTAAGAAAAAAAATACTAACAACGTCTCAAGGTCAAGGAATCCTAGCAATATAAATCACCAAGAATTACCAAGTATTATAAAATTTACTTAAAAAATGTACTTTATGGAAGTAATATAATTATGATATTGTAGTAGCATCCAATTAATGTTGTTGGACTATTGTGGACATGAAATAGATCAATTCAGTAATGTGTAATAAATTTCAAATAACTGTATACAACGAATCACTAGAAAATTTTGACATTTGTTAACCATGCATCAGGAAAACTTTGACACCTGTCAACCATGCATAAAGTAATGCAGAGTAAAATGAAAAGTGTGTGAGTCGATAAGATTATAGGTTAATTACTATAATACCCTTAATATTGTCCTAAATTAAGAGCCTAGGAAAAAAAATACTAACATTGTCTCAATGTCGAGAAATCCTAGCAATATAAATCACCAAGAATTACCAATTATTATAAATTTTGCTTAAAAACAAAGTTTACTTAAAAGAAAAAAGTACTTATTAAGGAGGTAATATAATTATGATGTTGTAGTAGCATCCAATTAATGTACTTGGACTATTGTGGATATGAAACGGATCAATTCAGTAATATGTAATAAATTTCAAATAACTATATACAACGAGTCACTAGAAAATTTTGACATTTGTTAACCATGAATAAGGAAAACTTTGACACTTGTCAACCATGCATAAGGAAATGCATAGTAAAATGACAAACGTGTGAGTGGACAAGATTACAAGTTAATTACTAGTTGTAAATTAATACTAGTTTACTAAATTACCCTTAATTTCTAATTGGATTACGATCGTACTATTATTTTTTTAACATTCAAGGAAAGGTTGCGATTCTAATGACTAACCTAAACGAACTTGGGTTTGAGAGTCGAGAAGAACTGAGAGAGAGACTAACAGCAATATGTGTGGGCTCCCCGTTTCCTTAGATTTTTAGACCCGCCTAGCGCTGCTAATTGCATGGACCCACCAACCCCATTTTGAGTTTAGAAATTCTGGCCCCAGCCGAATTGCATGGACCCACCCCCAACCCGTGGGTCCAGGTCCCATTTGCCCGCCCTTAGTTTGTAATACTAAAATAGAAACTTATGTATATTACTTGCATTTATTTTTAAGCAATTAAATTATAAACATTGGTTCATGCTTACATTTATTTTTAATTTTATCAAAAGGCAATCATTTTCATAATTCAACCTTAAAGTGAAATCAGACAATACAGAAGTATAAATACATGAATGGTGCATCAACAACACCTATCACGTAAAAAACTTAATTGAAAACTTTAGGCTGAGATCCTTACAGCAAAAAATAACATAACACGATATCAACACTGTAGTTAACAGAAAATCAAATCCCTAACTTGAGATAACTTCTAATGAAGTTTAAATATTAATTATTGCTAACTAAAACTTCATTTATATGGAAGTTCCTTCGTAAACCTAGTTAGAATCTTGTTCTAGGCTATATTTGGCATCCGCTAACTTCCAAAATCTTGAGGTTTCATTCATGTTCTCATCGTTATATCATAATCTTCAAGATTTGTCGTTTATGATCATCATTTCAAAATCATTGCGATTTGTCGTTTTCGATCACTGTTCCAAAATCTCTAGGATATGTCGTTATCTACATTCATCTTTGCCAAATCTTGTTCTTAATAGCCGTTTACATACCATGACGTATTAGCTCTCCCGATTATTGGCACTATGCAAGTTCAATGAAGTTATAAATGATTCGACTTTCCAACATTTATGCCAAACCCTTCTTAATTCTCTTAACGGGTACCCTAGCCGTACACCAGATCTTAACCGACCATCTTACCTATTCTTTCTCCAACATCAATTTAACCTTGACCTCAACAATCGCAGTTGAGATTGTCGATTCACATCATCGTATATTTGGATATGAATTTCACCAGCACCATGACCATGACTCGAAAGAAAGAATGTCCAAAGGGTAATTTCGGAATTTGAGATGTAAACAAGGAAAACCCAAAGTATTCTTATAAGTCCAGGCCCAACGTGGTGGAGCGAGAGAGAGAGAGAGAGAGAGAGAGATAGAGGCTGCGCGAGCTTTACAAAGCCCCCCAAAAAAAAAAAAAATTAATAATAATAAAAAAAAATAGAAAAAAGGTTCACTTCGTTGAAAATATAAAAGCGAACGAACAAACGTAATAAATCTGTACATTCATCATCATCATCATCATCATCATCCATCATCCATCATCCACTGTCAAAATTTTTTCTCCGAGATTTTGTTTTTCCAATTGGTATAAAACCAAAAACCCTAATTTAAAAAAAAAAAAAAATGGTGATATGAGAGGAACATGGCTAGGGAACGCGGAACGAGCGCGCAACCATGGAGGACGTTAGAGGAGCTCTTGCTAGTTTGCGCCGTGAACCGCCACGGCACCCAGAGTTGGGACTCCGTCGCCTTGGAGGTCGGGAGGCGCTGCTCCCCCACCGCGACGACGCTTCTCAGTGCTGACAACTGTAGGGACAAGTTCGCGGACATCAGGCGACGTTTCGTATCGGAAGACGACGACGACGGTTCGTCGGGGAGCCTGGGCGCGATGGTTGACGAGCTACGGAGGCTGCGAGTTGCGGAGCTACGACGCGAGGTCCGCCGTCGCGACGTTTCGATCGTGTAAATTTCGCGTCCCTTGCGAGAGATCTGAGTGTGAGGTGTTGTCGTTTTAATGGTTTGAGATCTGAGAGTGTGTGTCTTCTCTGTGTGTGGTTTTTTACAGGTCGTTGGAGTTGAAGGTGAAGAGGTTGGTGGAGGAGAGGGAGCGGAGCTTGAAGGAGGATGCCGGGGCCAACCGTCCGAGCAAAGATCTCAAACGCCGCGGAGACGATCAGCGGGATGGTTCGCCGGAGAACCTCGCCGGAAAAATGAACTCCGGCGAAGACTTCGGCTCGGACTTCAATTCCGACGAGCGCGAGAACCGATCCTTCAACGAGTCCAATTCGACGAGCCAAAGAGGCGATGCTAAAGGAAACGGCGCGACGGAGAAACTGGCGGAGGAGCCCAGAACGGACGGAAACGAACCAGATCCGATTCGGGCCAAAATCCGGTCCGAACCCGATCGCGATTGCTCTGTTAACGGTAAAGTAGCAGACGATGACGACGAAGACAATCAAAACAACAACAAAAAAGGCGGCGATGATACGGCGAAGGCGAGTCGGCTCGGCGAGTCGAGCGAGTTGTGGGAATCGGGTGGCGAGTCAAAGCGGGAGGGAAAAAGAGGAAGTGGTGGCGCGGCGGCGTCGAGGCAGCAGAACAGCGACGTGCAGAGCTCGGCGAGCTTGTCGAAGAGGAAACGACGTCGTGGCAGAGGAGGGGAGGGAGGAGGAGGGAGTAGGAGTAGGAGTAGGAGCAGCAGCGGCGAAGAGGCCGAGGGTGACGAAGTATCTCCCGCCACCAGCAAAGGGGTTAAGCAGCTCAAGCTGGTTAAACCTGAGCCGTTGATGAAGGTCCTCAAGATCATCCGCTCTCATCGGCTCGGCTCCGTATTCGAGCGGCGGCTTCGGAGTCAGGTATTGACAAATATTCCTAAAACAAAATTTTAACGTATATAATTTTAATTTTGTATCTTAATGTGGAAAAATCTAAATCAAATAAATTACCCAAAAAAACATTTAAAAATCCGGAAAAATAATTAAGATTTGAAAAATATGATGGGGAAGAAGAGTTCTTCTGAACTGATGGAAAATGGAGGTGCTAATTCATGGTCCAAGATTAGATTTAGATGTTTGGGTGTGGACCAGTTAGAACGTTACACGTCACAATGTCAGGGTGTTATGGTCATACGAGGGAGTAAAATGGGGGTATTTTGGGGAAAGGGATCCGCTCGGGATCCTTTCCATCTAATTCATGAAGTCCAGGGATTCGGACCATTAAAATTTGATTCAACGACTAAAGTTATTATAACTTTTAAAGTAAATTCTTGTTTGTAGCTGTTAGATTAAATTTTAATGATTCAGATTCTTAAACTTGATGGATTAAGAAGAAGGAATATTGAGAAGATCACTTTTCGTATTTTGGTACTTGAGTAAGATCGAGGCAGTTTGAAACGGTACATTGAGAATGGTGAGGATGGTAGCTAGCGTGCAGCGCATGAGCGTTACGGAGAGGACGAAAACTCAGTCAAGGTTTTGATGAAGGGTTACAACCATATGCCTTAAGCGGTGGGGTCCTGTAAGTAGTTTAAAATTAGGATTTAGAGGTTTTTTTTTTTGGGTTAAATGTATGGTCTAAACTACTCTAGTTTATTAATTATACGTATTCCAAGTGGTTTGGTAAATTAACAGTAAATTTTCTATGTAGAAATTTAATCTATAGATAAAGAGAGCAGCTAAAAGTGGTGAAACATTTAAAATACTATAAATTGTTTCTCAACAATGTAAAAAATTACGATTGAATTAAAAAGTTAAAGTAACTCAACACATTTTTATTTTCAATAATTTTAAAATTTAAAACCTTAGAAAAAATAACAAAAACAAAAAACCTCTAGCTGGTAGTTTTTGGTTGACTTCCAATTTATTTTTAAATAAATGTTTAATAAAAAATATACAATTAAAAAAAGTAAATTTTGTAATTTTTTATTAGAAAAGGGTTATTTATAAACGTATAAGCATGTGACAAGAGGCTATTATCTATCTATATATAAAAAGAAAAGGCAAAAAAAATGAAGCTTTCATAATACTCAAATTGCCCTTCTTTTATTAGATTTAAAAAAAAAAAAAAAACAATGTAAGGTGGTTAGTAAGTTCATTATTTTTCAAAATATATTCTAATATAAAAAAAAAACAATACCAAAATAATTAAAACTAAAACAACAAATAGAAAAGTAAAACAATAAAAAAGAACTAACAATGCGTGTGGCAAAATGTTAGTAAATTTTTAAACAATTAAATTTGCGTAAAATTTATATTGCATGTATAAAAATGATGATATAAGCAGATCAAATGACCCAACCCAGATTTAGAGATTATTAAAGGAAGCGTTACGAAAGTACCAATGAGGGCGTGTTAGTTTCTTTGACCTTGTTTGTTACCTTTGATTTTCTTCCCAATTTCCAAAGTTATTTTTCATTTTTATTGTTTTTTTCTCAGGTATTTTATATTTTCATTAGGTTTATGGGTAATAACAAGTCTTAGAGCTAAAGCAACTTGTATGATACATGTTCACCGTCTTATCATATACCAATAATACAAAGACATAACATAAGTATGGTACGAGAATATTATAAGTTATCGTACATTATGTTTATTTAATAGATCATAGATTATTTTTTCATAAAGATAACGTTAATAGTAAATTATTAATTATTAAAAGAAAGAGGGTCGATGAGATCAAATTCGTTCTAGAATGCATAAGTATAATTATTTCTATCATTACGATAAAGTGTCATATGCAAACTTTAAATTATTTTAGAAAGAAAAAATTATGACGTTGGATATTATTACGTCCCATACTAATAAAACATGATGATAGTTTAATTTATGAACGATGGGATTTATCCTGTGGACCTTAGTCCCGTGCATTCGCGCGTACACACAGGAACTCTTCCTCCCAATCCCAACTGATCCGTACTTATTATAAAAACAAAAATAAAACATAAAAAACTCCACCGAAGTGGACGTTGGCCCGACGTGTGAAATGTTACACGTGTAACGTACAACTACCTGAAGCACAAAAATGCAGGTGATGGGCACTAGCGGGTCTCGTGCCTGCGCTTTTTTGACCAATAATAATAAAAAAAACCTAGAAAACTACTTAGGGTACCCTTCCGTATAGCCAAAGGATACTTACACAACTATTTGTGTCTCGGGCACACACCCATTTGCATTTCTAATATATTTTTGTTATTGATTTTTTTCTTCAGTTTATTCGATTCGACGACTGAAAATTAAGAGAATAACACTCATTTTTACTTCTCATATATTTTTTATATAGAGATGTAAAGAAGTAGTTCAGGTCAGTTGGTTAGAGTTATGTGCTCGATTTTCTTTAGTAAATATTTAGTTCTTTTTTCTATAAGTTAAGCTGGTTTAGAATAAAATATTTTAAAAACTCAAATTTCTGGTTTTTATTTGACCACCAAGTATCAATTGGAAAATTATATTTCAATTACGTTATGCGTGTGGAGTAGTTTTTACTAGAAAATTATGAGAAAAAGTTAGGAAAAGGAAGTAGCGGGCAAAGAAACTTCTTCCTATTTTTGTTTTCGAAATTGGTATTTGGTTACTGTTAAACGAGTGTGATTTAATTAATTTATTATAGAAGTTTCGAAATTTAAAACTATTAATGAAAAAGTGAATTGGTGAGGGCAAAATTACTTTATTTTATTTTATTTGGTTTCTAGTTTGCTCTAATAAAAATGTTTTGAGTACAACTTCTAATTAAAGAAACCCTACAATATTTGTGCAGGAATCAGAAAGGTACAAAAGTTTGATTCGGCAACACATGGACCTGCATGTGATTCAATCCAAGCTTAACAAAGGCCTCTACACAGAGGATTGCATCCCATTCTTCCGCGACCTCCTCCTCCTATTCAACAACGCCGTCGTCTTCTTCCGCAAGAACTCTCCGGAGCACAACGCAGCTCAAGAGCTCCGCTCCATTGTGCTAAAGGAAATGAACGACCAGCTCCCGAACCCACAACCCGCGACCGGAAGAGTAACATCCAACGTGCCCAAGATCGAAACCAAAGCTCCCAAGATCGAGCCCGATGCCTCCGAGAAACCCACCAAGTCTTCCATTGTTGTTTGTGGAAAGCGTGGTTCTGTCAATGCACTATCAGAAGGCGGTGCGAAGAGCAGGAAGGGAGATAAGGTTGAAGAGAAAGCAAAAGCGGCGAATGAGAAGAAGATGGATGGTGCTGCATCTGTGAAGGTTGAGGACAAGGGAATTAGGAGGAGGAGGACACAAGAAAGAGGCGGGCGGAGAGGGACAAGCACGAGGGGCAGGAATGCAGCAAAGCCGACGAAGCCGCATGAGTATGGCATCAATGAACTCAGTTCGCATGATGGTTTAGAGGCTTTGGAAGCGGAGAAGGAGAAGAAAGAAAACAGGAGGAAGAAGCAAGGCGCAGCGAGGTTCTTGAAGCGAATGAAGCAGAACTCGCCGAGCACTGAAGTGAAGAAGGAGACTTCGGATGGTTCTGAGGATGATAGCGAGGAGAGCGAGGACGAGAAGAAGAAGAAGCCGACGACGAGGAGTAGGAAGAAGCCGGAGGTTGAGAGGAATGAGAGGGTGACGCGGAGTTCAACGGGAAGTGGGGGAGGGAGGGGAGGGGGAAGAAGGTGTCAGGAGAGCAATGCGAGGGGAAGAAGAGGGGTCGGGAGGCCACCGAAGAGGCCGGAGACTGCGGCGGCAGAAGTGGGGAGTAGGAAGAGAGGGAGAGAGAATGGGGAGGCTGATCAGGTGGGGAGTACAGGGAGGCGGAGAAAGCGTACAAGGAGGTGAATGCGGCCATTGTTATAAGCTGTAAATTATTTTTGGCATGGTTTGGGTTAATTTCTGGTCTTGTTTTGTTGCTAATGCTAGGTTTTTACAGTCTCTTTTTACCTTTTTACCCAAGAGCGGTCAAAAGAATTACTAGAGAGGGATAGGGAGAGACAGAGATAGATGTGCTGTGAACTTGTAGAATGTTTTGGGGCATCTCTTTTAGCATATACAGATCCTGATGAGTAGCATCATCGGTGAGGACCTTTTTCGTTCTAGTTTCAATATTGTTCTTGTTTTTTTTAGTGTGGGCTTTTTGGGTGCAATAGGAAATAAGCTGGGTCCAAAACATCCGAAAACAAGGGAAGAAATTAAGATAATACTAAAGAAATATACTGAGAAAGATAATACAAATGCAAATGACGCATTACTGCGACGTGACGGAAAACAATAATACTCATGTACGCTTGTGCAGATTCGATCTTCTTCTCTCTTAACATTTAACAATTTTATCCAGTAATCGTTTGTTAAAAAAAATAAAATAGAAAGATAATACAAATCATATAATATTAACAATTTCCTTGCCAAATAGGTGGATATTGATATTGAACGCAACTTATATCGATAGATGCATTGATATTACCACAAATTTTCTTATCGACATTTCTCCCGATACCGATATTTAAAACACTGCTTCTACTACTTTTACTTTCATATAAATTTGTCTGATATATTCTGTTATCAAGAATCAGAGTTGTTCATAGATGTCTTCGGATGATGGTTGATAGTTTGGCAAGAAAACCGTTACATGAAAAAGATGTTAAAAGTTCAGGTTTGTTGTCACTTAGTATTACGGTCAAGTGGTATTCCCTCACTTGTAAGTGAAAGATCTGCTAACCCATTGTGAGGCTGAGCTCACCTCCACTTAGTGTAGATAATATCGTTTGTTCACCAAAAAAAAATAAAATAAAAAAATCAGGCTTGTTCTACAACTTTATTTTTGGTCCAATACTTTATAACTTCCAGCCTAAACCAATCCCAAACCTAATTAGGCCTTAAAAGATTCCAATTATTTCATCACTGCCCATGAAAAAGAGAAGTCATGGCATTAATAAATAAAATACTAATAATAATAAATAAATAAAACAATGATATCCGGAGGATTACAGTGACGGAGCTAGGCAAAATTATACGGTAGATTACAGAAAACTTGGTCAACAAGAATGGTTAAATTCTTGAGAAATTAAATCGCAGCCTGCAAGTGAATTTCCAAGTGCTTCTGCTCAAAGTTTCAGGATTCTATCCTGACGAAATTCCAAGGCATTTGCGTATGAATTTAGTTAGGAAAGTTGGATGCATGTTTAGCCATCCCTACGACTTTAATTCCCCTTCTGTTTTTACGCAGTTGTTAGATTTCTTGTATGCAGCAGCAATGTGGTTAATAAGCACTATTCTAAAAATTCTCGCGTAGGTGCTAAGCGGCTGAACACTGCTCCGATTAATCTTAGACATTCAAAAATTAAGAAAAGGTTTCTGGTGCCCAGACTTGTCCAGACACCCTCTAACTCACGACTCTCACTTACACAGAAAATAAATCACTTTCATTTTGCTTTTATTTTTTTTGATAAATTTTAACAGACTTGTTGTGACACTCATTACATGATTGTTCAACATATTTTCAATATGTTCTAATACTTTATAATTTATATGTCATTTTATTTTGCAATTTATGTATCCCAATATAAGTATATTTTTTTTGGGATACTTTGGATGCGGTCCTTAATCCTTAACATTTTTTTATTAAAACCTTAATAGTATTCAAAGTTTAATCAAAGTCCCTTGACTTTGTACACCTCATTATATTACTATTAATATTTATATTTTTATAGTTTTGACATTAATTGTTTGATATTTTATGAGATTTATAATCCTATAAATTTAAAATCCCTCATTATAATACTATTAGAAACGGTTACAATAAAAAAATTGTGACATCCCACATCGCCCAGGGGAGTGATCCTTAAATGTATATTCCCATCCCTACTTAGCATGAGACATTTTGGGAGCTCACTGGCTTCGGGTTTCGTAGGAACTCCGAAGTTAGGCGAGAAATGGGCTAGAGCAATCCCATGATGGGTGACCCACCGGGAAGTTGCTCGTGAGTTCCCAAAAATAAAACCGTGAGGGAATGGTAAGCCCAAAGCGGACAATATCGTGCTACGGTGGTGGAGCGGGCCTAGGAAGTGATCCGCCCCGAGCCGGGATGTAACAAATTTGGTATCAAAGCCTAACCCTGGCCGTGGTGTGCCGACGAGGACGTCGGGCCCCTAAGGGGGGTGGATTGTGACATCCCACATCACCCAGGGGAGTGATCCTTAAATGTATATTCCCATCCCTACTTAGCATGAGGCATTTTGGGAGCTCACTGGCTTCGGGTTCTGTAGGAACTCCGAAGTTAAGCGAGAAATGGGCTAGAGCAATCCCATGATGGGTGACCCACTGGGAAGTTGCTCGTGAGTTCCCAAAAACAAAACCGTAAGGGAATGGTAAGCCTAAAGCGGACAATATCGTGCTACGGTGGTCGAGCGGGCCCGGGAAGTGATCCGCCCCGGGCCGGGATGTAACAAATTTGGTATCAGAGCCTAACCTTGGTCGTGGTGTGCCGACGAGGACGTCAGGCCCCTAAGGGGGGTGGATTGTGACATCCCACATCGCCAGGGGAGTGATCCTTAAATGTATATTCCCATCCTTACTTAGCATGAGGCCTTTTGGGAGCTCACTGGCTTCGGGTTCCGTAGGAACTCCGAAGTTAAGCGAGAAATGGGCTAGAGCAATCCCATGATGGGTGACCCACTGGGAAGTTGCTCGTGAGTTCCCAAAAACAAAACCGTGAGGGAATGGTAAGCCCAAAGCGAACAATATCGTGCTACGGTGGTGGAGCGGGCTCGGGAAGTGATCTGCCCCGGGCCGGGATGTAACAAAAATTCAAACATTTTGATTGAATAAATGGATAAAAACTATGCAAAAATAAGAAATAATAAATGGCAAAAGAATGTATCCATAGTGTTGAAAAAATTGGTACATTTCACATATAACAAAGTTATACATTAATAAAGAAGAATGGGTACATTATAAATAAATTAGGGTACAGATAAAAGATTAAAAAATTATGAGTACAAATGAATTTTTAAAAAATATAGGCGCTAAAAGAAATTAATACATGGGTACAAAATAAAACTAAAAAGAAAATACTACAAATTAAAAAAAAATATTGCAAATTAAATGACACACCCCGACCCAGAGAGTCCACTTGGACCCTGAATCGAGCTGTGCTGGCCGACACCTGGAAGGTGACGAAGCCATAAAATGTGATAGTGCATAAAAAGTGAATAAATTTGAATCTAAAAGTGTCTAAATACCAGAGTGCGCTACGGGTGGGAGCGAACCCATTTCACACGCGATGTCAGAGCATAAGTAAGGTACAGTAGTATGGGTAAGAATCATACCCTCAAAAATATCCATCAATACAAAGATTCGTCACAGATTCTTGTCGATACAAACTCAGCAGTTAAAACCTGGAGGGCACCAAACAGAAGGTGTGAGTAAGCAATAAAACCAAGCTTCCCAAAGTTACTACCTCTCAAAAAGTAATGCCCCTAAATGTAAAACCCGTATCGTTTTCCATAAGACAGTACAACATATATACATATATCCAAACCATACTCAGAAATGACCCAAACCACGGTTTGCCATCAACTCCACCATACATCAATAAGTAGGCCAAATGAACTAAATCAATAAAAAATGATATATCAGTCAGAGTCATCTAAAATGACATGTACAACTTATCCATATCTCATCAATCATGGCTAACATATAAGTCGGAGTCACCTATAGTGACCTGTACGACTTATCCATATCTCATCAATCCTGGCTAGCATATAAGTCGGAGTCGCCTATAGTGACCTGTACGACTTATCCATATCTCATCAATCCTGGCTAGCATATAAGTCGGAGTCGCCTATAGTGACCTGTACGACTTATCCATATCTCATCAATCCTGGCTAGCATATAAGTCGGAGTCCCCTATAGTGACCTGTACGACTTATCCATATCTCATCAATCCTGGCTAGCATATAAGTCGGAGTCGCCTATAGTGACCTGTACGACTTATCCATATCTCATCAATCCTGGCTAGCCAATAGCTCAATAAGTATATCTGCACACGAGTCGGAACCACCTAAAGTGGTCTGTACGACAGGACTGGATGTAAATAAATGCGCTCAAGTGCTACGATCACGTGAAGACTGGGCGAATAATCGCGGGTCACTTACGAGTCGGAACCACCTAAAGTGGTTTGTACGACAGGACTGTGCATCTACCTTGAATCCAAGGTGAGCGTAAGGTGCGGGAGGTGAACATCACGTGAAGGACTGTGCCCTGGCCACGGACGGGAGCACTAACACCGGGGTGCAGGTTTATGAGCTCTCAATGCATCTCAATATAACATGTGCAACTCATGGCAACCAGTACGACAGTATCGAAGTTGCCTAACACATAACTGTAGTCATGCTATAACGCAATCGATTCAACTAGTACCATAAACTCATCTGAACTTACCTGGGTGTCCTGAGTTCACCTTTGCACTTGAAAGCATTCCCAATAATTATATGCAAGTAATATACATATTGATACACCATGATGCAATCTAATACTCAACCATGTCGTAGCATGTTCAATTATAAACAATACAGTGAGAAGTGTATAATCAATAATGCCCTACTCCCAAACTACTCATTTTCAGGGATAATTATCCATGACGACCCAATTAACACTAATTTACCTAACTAATTCATAAAACTAAAACTTGCCTTTACCAATTTCCTTCGCCTTACTCAATTTCGCAAGCAAGGTTTTTGTCTCAAATATTTTATGGCTGCATCTAACGTCTCGTTAGACTGCCTACGTACCCTAAACAGGGATCAAGCCATTCGTAGTTCATATAGTACTTCAAGCATTCACAATAATTATATATGAAAGTAATATGGCTAATCAATTTAAAGGTGTCGATAGAACTCTCAATAATATGTGGGATAAAAAGGAAAAGATCCACTTACCTGGAGTCCACGCTATGATTTTCTAGCGCACGCATCGAGGCGTCCTGAATGATTGGTCCCTGTGACCAATTATCAAATCACATCTCAGAACTCTTATCCGTAGAATATGTAATTCACATAAAACACAACCTCAACGACATTCTAAAATAGTTTGAGACCCATTGGCCACAAGTCAACCGTCGATCAAAGATCGACGGTAGGGTTTACAACCCTGTATAACTTGACCCGGAAGATCAGCATATCAGATTTCCAATCCGCAACTCCCAACGATCCACAATATGTTTCTAGAATAACATATTAAAATTTCATTATGATCCAATGGTCAGATCTCCGCCAATTGCCTAAAACAAGTGGCCGTGAACATTTATTTTACTAACTTACAAATCCAATTCAGGAAGATCCGTAAGTCGGATTCTCGATCCGTAAATTCCTTTAATCTTTAAATATTATGTATTATAATGTATCCAATTTTGGTGACGATCCAACGGTTGGATCATCGATTCACATTTTATCAAGTAACGTATCGTAACGAATTTAGGTTCCAACTATCAACCTACGTCATTCAAATGACAAAACTGAATTCAAGACATTTGACATAGCCTAAAAATAGCATTGGCGGCCCACTGGCCACGCGCCGCCGCGGGTGGCGGTTGGCCGCCCCGACTTGCCGGAAAATCCAACTATTTCCAAAAATTCTCAAACTTCACAGAAATGAAGATCTCAGTGAGTGGAGCAACTTTCATACCTACCATGAAGTCCAAAAGTGGACGGAAGATGGTCAAATTTGCCCACGAAGCCGGCGGGTGCCTAAAACTTCCCGAAGTCGATTCGTCGTCTACGGTGGTCCAACGGGGTCAAGGTTGGTTGGGTTTTGCTCCTGGGATGATGGGCTACAAAGCCCAAGTGGTGGCATCGGCCATTGCTTTGCCGATTTGCCGGAAAATCGAAAAGGGTGGCCGGAGTACCATTGATTTTCGTCAACTTTCGTGGCCTCAAACCTCCACATCCCATGGTTAATCAAGGTGGTTCTTGGGTGGGTTTTGTAGAGGGGAATGAGAGCTTCAAGATGGTGGTGATGGCATCGAAAAACTCCACCGGAGTTGGCCGGAATCGGCCTTGGAAGATGGACTCGCGGTGGTGCGGTATGGGTGCACGGGAAGCTTTCTTCCCTTTTTTTTTTTTCTTTTCTTTTGTTCTTTCTTTTTTTTTTTGATTAGCTGCAAGCTTCACTTTTATTTTCTAATTGGTTCCTTGTCCCTTCGGGGATATCCGATAAAATTTAGAACGGGTTGTCACATTAAAAGTGGGTATAGACTAAAAATATAAATATATAATACAAAGTTTAGGCATAAAACATAAATATATCATATGTATTTTTTCTATCATTGATTAAATATACAATGTCACGTGACGGTATACACATGGGTACAAACAAAAATAAAACTTTAAAAAATATGGGCACAAAAGAAACTAATATATGGGTACAAATTAAAAATGAAAAGAAATTTGGTACAAATTAAAAAAATTTTGCAAATTAAAAATAGGTACAAACTAAAAATAAAAATATATGATAAAAAATTTAGCCATAAATATTAAATATACTAATTGTAACATTTTTAACACTAAAGGAATATATTTTAAAAATAAAACTATTTTATTTTTCAAATAATTAATGATGTTATTAATACCCAAGGACCCTGATCAAAAATTGAAAATGAATAGGATTTTAATCAATGGAGTAACAAAAAGAAGGATGTGAACCTAATTTCTCTATTTTTTTATTTACGTAAAGTAGATATTTATTTATATGTTACAGAATAAATTTAATTAAAAAAAAAAAACAACCAGAGGGCCACAAACTCCCCAAAATCCTACAATGAAACCAAGAGCCATGAAGCAATCTTTAACTTCGGAGAGAAATTGGAAATAAGCATATCGCCATGACGTGTTGAAAACTAGAGGGCCACAAACTCCCCAAAATCCTACAATGAAACCAAGAGCCACTGAAATATGAAGCCGTGGAATTTCGTTCCCATTGTCATGTTCATCTTCCATGTTCTCAGTTGCATTGTCACTTGTATTCATCTGTTGGCATTTGTTTGGAAGCGGGGAACCGCAAAGTCCCGGGTTGCCCTCATAGGCAGTGGCATCAAAGCCTTGGAGCCGTGTGCCTAACGGTACATGTCCTTATAGGTTATTGTATGCAACACTAAGTGAAGCCAAGGAATGAAGGCTTGATAGTGAAGTTGGGATTCCACCCGACAGATGGTTTTTTGAGAGGTCTAATCTCTCCAAGTTTGTGAGCTTAGATACCTGGTCCGGGATGCTGCCAACGATGTTGTTGAAACTGAGATCCAGCTCGTGAAGGTTTTGCAACCGGCCTATCTCAATGGGAATGTTGCCACTTAGACTGTTATTTCGGAAGACAACAGAGGGCTGCACGTTGGACAGATATTTGTACTGCAGCACCGGTGCCACAATTTCCTTCGTGCGCTGTGTGTAGAAAGGTAGTTCGACATCACCACTATCCATTTGAGCGGAAGGCTTCTCAGATACAAGAGCTTGAAGTGAGAAAAGCTCCTTTGGAAGTCCCCCTGAAAGAGAGTTGTTCTCCAAGCTTATGAAGAAAAGACTAGGAAGACTTCCCAACCAAGGAGGTATTGAGCCTGTGAGTCTGTTAGAAGACAAATCAAGGACTTTGAGTTTCTTGAGCTTTGACATCCACACCGGAATATGACCTCTAAGTTGGCAGTTCGATAAGCCAAAAAGGCGGAGATTTTGAAACTCAGAACCAATCATTGCATCAACCTCCGGCAGTTCTTCACCTAGAAAACTATATGAAAGTAAGGCCACCCTGAGACTTTCCAAACGCATCAATATATGTATAGCGCTGGTGACATTGGTGAGTCTGTTTTTACCAAGCGAGAGGAAGGATAGGTATTTCAACGAAACAATCTCGGGTTGTATTTGTCCCTCTAGATCATTACCGCCCAGGCGAACTGCTTTCAGATACTGGCATGAGTAAAGGCTTTTTGGCATGGCGCCAGAGAAGTGATTACTCACGAGATCAAGTTTGATAAGTTGACCAAGTTCGGAAAAATTTAGCTCCGAGATATTTCCATCGAAACGGTTGAATCCAAGATTGAGTTCGATAAGGTTAGTGCAATTCATCAAAGATGGGGGCAGAGGACCTTCAAGATTGTTGAGATGAAGGAGCATGAGTTTTAATTTGGGGAGCTTCCCGATGTGGAGAGGAAGTACGCCACTCAAATGATTGAAGTAGATCTCTAGGATTGTGAGGCTGGTGAGGTTGACAATGTTGTCACTAATGTGACCGAAAAGCTGATTGGAAGGTAACGAAATTTCATGAAGAGCCTGAGCTTTGTAGAGATCACTAGGAAGAGTTCCAGAAAGAGTATTGAAGCCGCACGGAAGGTTTCCAATTTCGAACAGTTTCCTAGTCCGAGAGGAATTGAACCATTGAAATCGTTGTTGTTGAAGTCCCATTTTTTTTTTTTTTGAAAAATGAAGATCCCTTCCCTTAAAGGCTTCCTAAAATAGTAATAATAATAAATAAATAAAACAATGATATCCGGAGGATTACAGTGACGGAGCTAGGCAAAATTATAAGGTAGATTACAGAAAACTTGGTCAACAAGAATGGTTAAATTCTTGAGAAATTAAATCGCAGCCTGCAAGTGAATTTCCAAGTGCTTCAGCTCAAAAGTTTCAGTATTCTATCGTGACGAAATTCCAAGGCATTTGCGTATGAATTTAGTTAGGAAAGTTGGATGTATGTTGAGCCATCCCTACGACTTTAATTCCCTTTCTGTTTTACTCAGTAGTTAGATTTCTTGTATGCAGCAGCAATGTGGTTAATAAGCACTATTCTAAAAATTCTCGCGTAGGTGCTAAGCAGCTGGACACCGCCCCAATTAATCATAGGCATTCGAAAATTAAGAAAGGGTGCCTGGTGCCTAGACTTGTCCAGACACCCTCTAACGTGCGACTCTCACTTAGACATAAAATAGATCACTTTCATTTTGCTTTCTATTTTTTTTTGATAAATTTTAAGAGACTTGTTGAGACACTCGTTACATGATTGTTCAACATGTTTTCAATATGTTCTAATACTTTATAATCTATATGTCATTTTATTTTACAATTTATGTATCCCAATACAATTATATTTATTTTTACATAAAGTAGACATTTATTTATATGTTACATAATAAATTTAATTAAAATAAAAAAATTACCTAGACACCTATGTGTTAGGCCCTTACTGAGCGCCCCGACTAGCGCTTATCACCTTTTAAAAATTTAAGAAGTCCTTTATTTCTCAAGGAAAAAATTACACTTGATTAGCATACGAAGCGATCTTTAACATTAGAGAGAAATTGGAAATACGCATATCGCCAAGACGTGCTGAAAACTAGAGGGCCACAAACTCCCCAAAATCCTACAATGAAACCAAGAGCCACTGAAATATGAAACCATGGAATTTCGTTCCCATTGTCATGTTCATTTTCCATGTTCTTAGTTGCAGTATCACTTGTATTCATCTGTTGGCATTTGTTTGGAAGCGGGAAACCGCAAAGTCCCGGGTTGCCCTCATAGGCAGTGGCATCAAAGCCTTGGAGCTGTGTGCCTAACGGTACTTGTCCTTGGAGGTTATTGTATGCAACACTAAGTGAAGCCAAGAAATGAAGGCTTGATAGTGAAGCTGGGATTCCACCCGACAGATGGTTTCTTGAGAGGTCTAATATCTCCAAGTTTGTGAGCTTAGATACCTGGTCCGGGATGTTGCCAACAAAGTTGTTGAAACTGAGATCGAGCACGTGAAGGTTTTGCAACCGGCCTATCTCAATGTGAATGTTGCCACTTAGACTGTTATTTCGGAAGCTAATAGATGGCGGCACGTTGGACAGATATTTGTACTGCAGCACCGGCACAAATTCCTCCGTGCGCTGCATGTAGATAGGTAGTTCGACATCACCACTATCCGTTTGAGCGGAAGGCTTCTCAGATGCAAGAGCTTGAAGTGAGAAAAGCTCCTTTGGAAGTCCCCCTGAAAGAGAGTTGTTCTCCAAGCTTATGAAGAAAAGACTAGGAAGACTTCCCAACCAAGGAGGTATTGAGCCTGTGAGTCTGTTAGAAGACAAATCAAGGACTTTGAGTTTCTTGAGCTTTGACATCCACACCGGAATATGACCTCTAAGTTGGCAGTTCGATAAGCCAAAAAGGCGGAGATTTTGAAACTCAGAACCAATCATTGCATCAACCTCCGGCAGTTCTTCACCTAGAAAACTATATGAAAGTAAGGCCACCCTGAGACTTTCCAAACGCATCAATATATGTATAGCGCCGGTGACATTGGTGAGTCTGTTTTTACCAAGCGAGAGGAAGGATAGGTATTTCAACGAAACGATCTCGGGTTGTATTTGTCCCACTAGATCATTACCGCCCAGGCGAACTGCTTTCAGATACTGGCATGAGTAAAGGCTTTTTGGCATGGCGCCAGAGAAGTGATTACTCACGAGATCAAGTTTGATAAGTTGATCAAGTTCGGAAAAATTTAGCTCCGAGATATTTCCATCGAAACGGTTGAATCCAAGATTGAGTTCGATAAGGTTAGTGCAATTCATCAAAGATGGGGGCAGAGGACCTTCAAGATTGTTGAGATGAAGGAGCATGAGTTTTAATTTGGAGAGCTTCCCGATGTGGAGAGGAAGTGCGCCACTCAAATGATTGAAGTAGATCTCTAGGATTGTGAGGCTGGTGAGGTTGACAATTTTGTCACTAATGTGACCGAAAAGCTGATTGGAAGGTAACGAAATTTCATGAAGAGCCTGAGCTTTGTAGAGATCACTAGGAAGAGTTCCAGAAAGAGTATTGAAGCCCGCACGGAAGGTTTCCAATTTCGAACAGTTTCCTAGTCCGAGAGGAATTGAACCATTGAAATCGTTGTTGGAGAAATCCAAGACTCTAATCGAAGAGGAACGAATACAGATAGAGGAAGGTATTTGGCCTGTAAAATGATTTTTGCTGACATTCAAACTGCTCAAATTCCAGGCATGCTGGAGGAATGAAGAAGGAATTGTAGCATTGAATTGATTGTTCGACAAATCCAGTATTTGAATGTAAGTAGATGATAGAAACAAAGGTAATTTTCCGGAGAGAAGGTTATAGCTCAAATCAAGGATTTCAAGGCAACTCGAGGACAAGAAGAGTCCAGCTTCCAGAGGACCGGAAAGCAGATTGTGGGAGAGATTGAGGTGCGAAAGATGTGTGAGGCTTCCAAGGGAGGGAGAAATGCTTCCTTGGAGCCGCTTAGAGGGCAACAAAACATGTGTTACTCTACCGTCAGCATCACAAGCGATGCCTTCCCAGTGACAACAATCACTGGAAGACCAATTTAAACGAGAAGAAGATGTATTGAAAGATGACAAAAGAGAGTTGTGATCTGCCTCCTTGCAAGCATGGTTTGTAGAAATGGAAGTAGACAACACAAAAAACAGGAAGAGGACTCGATGAGGCATTATGCGACTAGCTTCCGGCATGATGTTTTTCGCTACGGCTGTACTGGAATTACATTGCTCACGTTGATTCGGGTGTACATATACACTCCTTTGTTTGGAGCGAAGGAGGTAGAAATTAACAAAGGGAAGAAGGTAATTAGGTGATGGTTTGAATTGTTGTGAGCGATGTTTGAGTTTTGAAGTCTTTGCTTTCCACTTATATAGAAAAGAAACAAACCTGCAGAACACGGGACGTCACTAATGGAGGGTCTAATCACGAGTTGGCAACTTGGCAGCAACGTATTAGAAGGTTTACATTGACTTTGGCGTCGTGCTTTTTGGAAGAGCGAAAACAAATTTTAGTTTTGAATCGTGTACAGATCTTTTATGTAATGTGGTTTTGTCTGCTATTTCCCAATATCTTCAATCGTGTAAAGATCTTTTATGTATTAGTATATGGATTTGAAGTGGTTTGGTTTGACTTTAGGCTTTAGGAGTAAACAGCAAACAAAGGACTTCCAAGAGTCATTACACTGACTTCAAAGTGGCCAAAAGCGTTCAGATTACAATTCGTTTTTTCCATTTTGGATAGAAGCAATAGTGAAGATGAGGATAATCGAATCTCGATCTCAAATACAACGGTAAATGTTCTTAATCACTTGTGCTTACAAGTAAAAAATGTGTGAGTATTTCAAGTAGAAAAGTTTATTCGGATGGAGTTTTCACCCCAGAGTCCAAATATCATCTCATCTAAATAATCCAATTATGAATAATTTAAAATTTTAATTACTAATTTTAGGTGAACCTTGACTCACCAATTTTTTGATTCCTCAAAAGCTTGGTAAAAGCTTTGAGAAAAGTGTAATTCCATTTCTTCCCATTCCGGTCCGGTTTCGTAACCACGCCATATATGTAATCATGGGTTTGCAACGTATTAGAAGGTTTACTTGACTTTGGGCCCGTGCTTTTGGAAGAGTACTTTAAAACGGTTCTTTGATAAAAGTGCTTTGAATGGAAAGTAGAAACAGTTTTAATCACTTGGACAATTTTTTTGATGCAATCAATTTTTCAGATGAACTAACAGATAGTGAGTGGCAACCTCTCCTACATAATGAGTATGAAAAAAAAACTGAGTTAATAGTGAGTCATTTATATTATTTTGGATAAGTATCTACGTTGAATTAAAATTATTAAAAAATTGAACTCTAAAAATAAAAAACTTTTCATCAAAGACAAATCCGTCGGATAAATCCTTTTTGTGAAAAATTGTAAAATAAAGATATATCTATTCATGTTGGATATCTTTATATCATTATTCAATTTTCATAAAAATTCTAAATGTCTTTCCAATTTTAGATTTTTCAACAACTCCTTACTCCAATTTCTTAACCCATTGATTGATTTCAAATTATTGAACCGTCCCCCGGATTTGTTTTTTATTGATTCTTTTCAAAACGAAACAATTTGAGTATGAGTAAAAGGTCTTCCTTTTTATTTTAATGAATCCGTTTTTATGTTATTTCGAACTGTGCAATTCCTCAGTTTGTGGGATCATTTTCTCACGAAATGAAATTCAAATAAATTATAGAATGAATTAATACACCTATGTCTAGATTTGGGATAAATGGAAATTTTATTGATAAAACCTTTTGAATTGTAGCCAATATTGTGACATCCCGTCCCGAAATTATCTAAAACGTGCGTGTGAAATGACATTTTTACCCTAGTTCGTTTACGTTATGTTATTGGTTGTTTTGTATGTGTGTTGGCATGATCTGGGCCACACACTTACACCCTCACTCTCCCTATTCCTCTGTCTCTTTCCCTGTCTGTCTCTCTCTCTCCCGAGCTCCCTTTCTTCTTCTCCCTTCGAACTTGTACGGACACACACACAACTACACTAAATCACCACAGATCGAAGGAACTAAGGGCACAGTCGAGATCGTGAGGTCGAGGGGAGCACGATCATACCATTTTCAGGTATGA